TGTCACCACATCCATAGCTCCTGCCTGATGTCGAGGCAACACAGCGAAGTAATCAGAGAATCATGAAATCATTCAGGTAGGAGAAGACCACTGATGCCCCCAAATCCTATCCCAGCCCATCCCCACGGTGCCCACTGACCACAGGCTGTTCCAAGCTGGCCCGATGCCACCCGCTGCAGTCACCATCGCTGTGCAGAGCAGGCAGGTGGGAGGGCACAGTGCTAATTGAAGGGCAATGGCAAAAGGTGCCATTGGGGTGTTCCATGACAAGTCTGGGAGCCAGGAGTGCAGTGTTCCTCCCCCAGGGGCTGCCTGCACCTGGCCCAGGCTCTGCTTGTGACTCTGTTTGCCTTTCTGGAGAGGGAGTTGGGGTCAGAGGTGTCTGTCAGAGGAGCTCATGAGTGCCACTGTGATGGGTAGTGCAGTTGGAGCTGTTAGTTGTTGCCTGAAGGGACCTTCTCCATGCCTCTGTGTGGAGGTTTGACACTGCTTGTGCCATAAAGCAGTGCTGGATGTGACAGCTGCTCTCCATTGTATGCTGAGTGATGCTGGGAAGGGGGATTTGGGACATGGCCCACATTTCCAGCCCTTGGCAGAGGCAGGAGGATTTGCTTTTGTTTGGATTTTGGTGTGCTTTGTGCTGGACTGTAGGAGCTGCTGTGTGATCCCAGTGCAGCTGGAGACCTGCGCCTTTTGCTGAGCATCTCAAAGGCATCTTTATGAATTAGTTTCCATTGCTTGTTTCTTCCCATTGCTGGAACTGAAACCATTCGGGCCTGAACCATTACTTGATGTTACCCAAACGTCAGCACAGCTGCCTCTGAGTCCATCAGCTGTGCATGGAGCTGAGCCCATCCCCCTTGTGCAAGCAACGTGAGAGCTGCATTGAGGATATCTGCAGGAAGAGTGGCTGCCTGGGTGGGGTGTGCATGGGGCAGGGAGCAGAGCATGCACCCAGGGAGGCACGAGGCAGGCCGGGCTGAAATCCTTTCTCTTTTTTCACGTATGGCAGCAAAGGCATTTCTGAATAAGGGTTGGGGGAACTGGGATCCAAACAAAATGCCCCAGGAGAAATGGGGAGAAAAGCTTCCAATAGGAGACCTCCAGCCTTCTGTATTCACCAGAACCTATTGATTACAACCCGCTGAGCTGCTGAAAGGCACTGACGAGGTCAATGTGCTGAATGCCCTTCTTGCCTGAAGCCAGCGCTGTGTCTGTGCTGTAGAGCTGGCAATTGTGTGCAGTGTTCCCCTGCCCTCCCCACCCCCTTGCCAAGGCTCCACATCCTCTCTGGCAGCTTGTCACTTCTCTGCAGATGTCTAGACAGGAGGATTCAGCGCGTGTCACTTATGCCTAATTCATTAAAAAAACACACACAACACAACCCTACTGAGAGCTGGGGATTCTCAGTCCTGCAGACTCAGCGCTGTCTGTGGCTCTCAGATTAATTCCGCTGCTTGCAGGAGCAGCACAGGCCTTGCTTGCCACCCACAGCACGAGGGTTTGGGGAACAGAAGGAGGATGTGAGGGATGGGAGGACACAACCAGCTCCATATGGGGGCTCTGCCACCCCATGGGGTCATTGCAGCAGCAGTGCTGGATCTGCAGCTCGGAGCAGTGCACTTGCGGCTCCTGAGCTATTAGTGCCCTCTGCTTCCTCACAATTGGTGACTTCATCTCTTCCAGGCTGAACACTTGATTAACCTCATGTTAAAGAGGAGCTGCTGCGTGCTGTCCGTTCAGATTCCCTGGATGAATGCAGAGTGAGGAGAGGCTGAATTTCTCAGTGCTGTAGTGAGGGCACAGAGTGTCCTGTCTGTGCCAGTGATGCCAGCACAAGCTCTGCTGAGGACAATTACCCAGATTTAGTGCCCTGGGTGTATACAGCTGGATGATTTCCAACCTGCTTCAATCATGTTTGCTGTCGGGAAGGGAGCGGGAGTGGTAGCAGGGCAATATATTCTACCATGAGCCGTGTCAGGCCCTCTGAAATCAGCAAAAATTTGGGCTATCTCAGTTGGAGGTATAAGGGCAGGTAGTGTGCATCAGCTGCAGCTTGTGCAAACGGCGCTGCTGTCTCAGAGCTGCCTGCTGCAAGAGGATTACTGATGTTAGCTTAAAGCTTCTCTTCAAACGCAGCCCTCAGAGCCCAGGGATGCACCAGAAGGGGTGGCTCAGCAAGAGCACACAGCTTCACGGGACCTCCGTGATGCCAGATGGAAGGGGAGATGTGTGGGCAGCCTGTATTGTGCCCAGCCAGGTCCCTGGGTGTCCGTACTGCTGTGTTCGTGGCCTCACGCTGCAGCAGCACAACAGCAGCTATTGTTCCTGCCAGCTCAGCTCATGATTGTGTCTCATGATTGCTGAAGGGAAGGAGCAGTTCCCGGAATGCAGGAGAACATCTTCTCCACAGCCTGGCTCCAAGAGGGAGGAAGATGCTTCCCTACCCGAGCTGGGCAGCAGTTGCCTGTGCCCCCTGTTCTGTCCAGTCTGGCTTTTCTCTGAGCTTTAACATTAACTGGGTATCTCTGTTCATTATGGGAATGCTGGATGCAGAAGGATGCTTGCTGGGAAACGATTCAGGACCCATCGCAGTGGGGTTAGAGTGGGATTCTGAGTGCTGGTGTAGGGCTGTTTTCCCCCTCTCCCCTCCCCTGGCCAGCTGTGCAGGATATCTGCTGGCAGACAGAAACCTCCACCCAGGGCAGCCAACAAAGGGCCGCTCTGCTGGGCCTGGCTGGGGAAGGGGCCATCAGCGAGCTTCTCCCCAGAGAATGCTCTGCTCTCTGCTTATTGCTCAGCATGCTTCTCTTCACTCTCAGCAAAATATGTTTTATTTTTTTGTGTGCGGAGAGAACAGGCCTCCCTTTGGGCAGGGATCATTTGCATTCATTAACAGAGCTGTTATGCATGGCCACGCTCTGTCGCAGAGGAGCCAAACAAACGCCTGCTTTTTTTTTTGTCATAACCCAGGAGTGCTTACAAGTCAGCACTGCATCCGCTCCAGCTGATGCATAACACGTGCACTTGGGCTGCTGCACACCCCACAAAAGTGGGTTTGTATGGACTTCCCTCCCCCCCGGAGCCCTGCACACTGCCTTACTGTCTCCTGTGGTCCAAATGATGTTCCCCATGAATTATATCTTAGCAGGGCTCATAGACTTTCATTTCCTGGGAATGAAGTTTGCTTTTCCGTGTGCTGATGCATGGGGCCAGGAGGGAGGAGGGCTTTGTAGGAGCTGTTTCCTTGTGTAGCTCCTAAAGGAGGGCCCGTCCATGGGGTGGGGATGCTGCTGGGTGCCCAGTGGGAGGGAGGTTAGGGTGGTGTCTCCCTTGGGTGCTGCTTGGTTGCTTTGGAGCCCGATGGCGCAGCTGGCAGCACAGAGCACTGGGGCATAGGAGGTGCTGGTGGGGCTCTGACCCTGCTCAGAGGTTCACTGCAGGGAATAATGTCACCCTTGTCACTTCTGCATCTGTGCTTGCCCGGAGTTGTGCAATGACTCAGTGGCAGGGCTGGGAAGAGAGCCCAATGCTTCCGACCCTCTTTGGAAATGCATTTGATTGCTGGAGCTGAGGATGCGCTGGCAGCAATGTACCCTTCAGCTGTGCCCTCTGTCTGTCCCCACCTCTGCAACCACATCCTGTGCCACCCCCTGGAGGCACGCTGTCCTTCCCACCCTACAAGCACTCTGTCCTACTTTGTCCCCTCCATGCCCTCCCAACAGTGATGGAGAGAAGGATGCTTGGTGGTGCATTAAAGAGAGGCACCAACTGGAGCAGGTTGGGAGGACCCTCAGGCTTGCAGCCAGGGGAGGGGAATAAAGGAGGGAGAGAAACATCTGCTCCTCTGCTAAATCAGGTCTGGTCCCAGGTGCTGATACTGCAGTGCCTTCATGCAGCAGGGTCCACAAGTGTTCCTTATAGGCATGTCCTGGGGATGCTGCAGCTTTCTGCAGAGCTCAGCTCAGTGCTTAACTGAAGGGCATGGAGCACCCTGCTCTCACTGCTGGAAAGCGTTGCTTTCACGATGCTCCCGCCCTGGCAGCGAAGAGGGAATCTCACATCACACTGATGATGCACGGAGAAGAGGGCATTGCAGGCCTCTCTCCCACTCAAAAAAGATGTTTATTCATCTTTTCCCTCCCCCAGACGCTGGTACATGACACAACTGCTATTTGAACATGAATAGAGCTTCAGCAGCTCAGCCGGCGCAGCGTGGGGGGCTCTATTTTTAGGCTGGAGATGTGGAGGTGTGGCGAGGCAATGGGGAGCAGAGGGGATTCTCTATCCGCAGGGATGCGGGGGCTGGTGGATGGATGCAGCACGATGACTTCCTTCCTTCCTCCATGCTCCCCTCCTCCCTCCTGGGCAGCTGGGCTGTGCCTGGGTAGGAGATGCAGGAGGGCAGCGTGTCCTGTTTGTTGCTTGTTTAAGCTTTATAGAGTCAGAGAACATTCTGAGTTGGAAGGGAACCCATAAGGATCACTGGGTCATGTTTGTTGTCCACTGTAGCTTATTTAGGCTGTGTCTAATCACAGAATCACAGAATGGCCCAAGTTGGAAGGGACCTCAAGGATGATGAATCTCCAACCCCCCTGCCACACACAGGGCCACCAACCTCCACATTTAATACCAACCCAGGCTGCCCAGGGCACCATCCAACCTCCAGGGATGGACGGGGCATCCACAGCCTCTCTGGGCAGCTGTTCCAGCACCTCACCACTCTCATAGTAAAGAATTTGAATCAATACAAGACAGGTGTGCCCCAGTGAGGCGTCTGAGGTTGGTGATGTGATGGACATGTTGTGGAGCAGTGCCCTTTTGACGGCAGGTGAGGAGGATGCTGACCCACGGATGGGCTGGGCACAGAGCAGTGAAGACCCTCAGCCCGTATACTTGAGAGCCATGGAAGTTGTGTGGATCTCAAGCCATTCCTTCAGGATAACACGTTGTTTTTCTCACTGCAGTGAGGCCGGGAAGGGAGAGCTCCCAGCACAGCCATGGAGGGCGGCGTGCAGCTCCTCAACCGCGATGGCCACAGCATCTCACACAACTCCAAGCGCCATTACCACGACGCCTTCGTGTGCATGAACCGCATGCGGCAGCGCGGGCTGCTCTGCGACATCGTGCTGCACGTGGGCACCAAGGAGATCAAGGCCCACAAGGTGGTGCTGGCGTCCTGCAGCCCTTACTTCCACGCCATGTTCACAAGCAAGTAGCCTCCTTCTCTCTTCCTCTCTATCCCTCTCTTTGCTGCACACCTCTACCCTTTCTGTCCATCTCCTACCTCATGGAAGTGTGACGTCAGCGTATCATCGATATGAGAAAGCAAACTTCCTCCTTTGGCTCCCTTCTGTGAAGCTACCCTGGTAGCTTGGGTGAGACCCATTCCCTGCAATGCACTGCTGCTTCTCCCTGCTGAGAAGAGAGCAGGAGACCTTCCTTGGCCTTGATGCCAGGCTGTGGAGGTGGAGGGTTCTGTCTCCAGAAGAGGAAGGAGCCAAGGGCGCAGCCTCACATCCCCTTTCTGTAGCCTCTGGGCTCTTCCAGGAGCCATCTCTTTATCAGGCAGAGCTGAGCTCATGGTTTATTGCTAGCTTGCATCCCCTCTCCCAGACAACCTTCTGCACCACTGTGTTGTCTGCCTACAGTTCAGCCAGGCCACAAACGTCTCATAGACATGGAACAGGAGCTAGATGACAAGAAAGAAACATGCTGAGGGCTATTGTTCATATCTGGTGTCTGTGTTGCCCCAGATGAGATGAGTGAGAGCCGCCAGACCCATGTGACACTGCACGACATCGACCCACAGGCCCTGGAGCAGTTGGTGCAATATGCTTACACAGCAGAGATCGTGGTGGGCGAGGGCAATGTGCAGGTAGGAGCCCCCCCAGACCCATCTATCGCACAAAGCCTTACCTCTGGAGTTCTCCTCTCCCTCAGCTCAGGGCTTTCTGCTGTTGCTGCATCTAACAGTGGTCGTCTGCTCTCCTGCAGCTGCTGTGAATGGGAGTGCTCCTTAAAGCACTACTGCAGTGGCCATTTCCTAGCCCTGTGTGGGGTCATGGGTGTCTTTTTTGGCTCTTAAACTCCATCCTGTTGGAAACGAGGAGTGCTTTGTCCTCCGTGTGCTTGTGTGCATGAAGTTGCTCATTAAACCTGTTCTACTGTTGAAACTGGTGATGGAAATGATGTTTCCTTGCCCTGGAAGCTCCTTTTTTTTTCCCCTCCATTCTTTTCCATTGCCCAGACACTTCTCCCTGCTGCCAGCCTGCTTCAGCTCAATGGGGTGCGGGACGCATGCTGCAAGTTCCTGCTCAGCCAACTCGACCCATCCAACTGCCTGGGGATCCGGGGCTTTGCCGACACGCACTCCTGCAGTGACCTCCTCAAGTCTGCCCACAAATACGTCCTCCAGCACTTCGTGGAGGTGTCCAAGACAGAGGAGTTCATGCTGCTGCCTCTTAAACAGGTGAGATCCTGATGGAAGCACAGAGGTGTGGGACTGGCAAAGCTTTTCTTGCTCCGTTCTGAATGGCGTGGTCAGAACAGGACAGGGTTTAGCAGGGGAATGCAGCCAGATTCTGTGCTTTGGTCCTTTCTGTTTGATGGGGAAACAATACATGTGGAGAATACTGTCAGAGAGTGAGCTTAATCCCCTGTGAAATAGGGATGGGAAGGCAACGGGGAGGATAATTGCTGTCACTGGTGCCTGCCACCCGAGCTCTGAATGCTCTGCCTTCTCCCTGGGAGCACAAACCTGGGAGCCGCTTTGCTCCATCCATCCCTGGGGCTGTGGGGTGCATGGCAGCAAGGGGGGGATGAGTCTCCACCTGCTCCAGCTCTGTCCTTGGCAGGCAAAGCGAGCACGCTGCGAGCAGCCAGAGCACCTGGCTCCATCCCATGAAATATTGAAGGGACCTGTGCAAGCACAGTCGTCCGCCTGATCTCGCTGATGTTTATTGGAAGTGTCAGGCGTTGCAGCAGCTTCAGACGCAGAAATGGGGGAATGAGCCAAGGAGGGGACCGAGGGCAGAGCTGTTTCTGGGAGGAGGGGGAGGCACAGCTGCAGCCTGCTGGTGGTCCAGCTGCCCTTAGCTGTATACCCCTCGGCCACCAGCATCTGCAGGATGCTGCTTTGTACCTCTCTGTGCTGCTCTGCTGGGCCAATTCCCTGCTGTGGGAACGTGGTCCCTTCCTTCTGTGCTGCACCAGCTGGGAGTTGCCTTTTCCGTCCTTCTCTGCAGGTGCTGGACCTCATTTCTAGTGACAGCCTCAATGTGCCATCAGAGGAGGAGGTGTACCGGGCTGTGCTTAGCTGGGTCAAACATGATGTGGACAGCAGGAGACAGCATGTCCCCAGGGTGAGTCCGTTGGGGAAGGTGACCTGGTTCAACCCAGCAGCGCCTGTGTATGGCATGGGTGGGTGAGCAGGATGGGATGGAATGGCCTCACGTTGCACCAGGTGAGGTTCAGGTTGGATATTGGGAAAAACTTCTCTTAAAGAGCAGTCAGGCACTGGTACAGACCTGCCCAGGAGGTGGGGGTGTCACCATCCCTGGAGGTGTTCAAGAACTGTGGAGATGTGGCACTGAGGGATGTGGGCAGTGGGCAATATTGGTGGCAGGTGGGCGGTTGGACTAGATGATCTTAGATCCAGATTGTCTTCTCCAACCTTAATTCTGTGATTCTAAGGAGGCTGTAGGGTGGCTGGAGGATGGGCCGTGGGCAGAAATAGGAAGGGAAGAAATGGGGGCTGCACTGCCGGACCCTTCCCACCCCACAGACGGGATGCAACCCCTCTCCTTTCAGCTCATGAAGTGCGTGAGGCTGCCCCTGCTGAGCCGGGACTTCCTGATGAGCAACGTGGACACGGAGCTGCTGGTGCGGCACCACTCGGAATGCAAGGACCTGCTGATCGAAGCCCTCAAGTACCACCTCATGCCTGAGCAGAGGGGGGTCCTCAGCAACAGCAGGACCAGGCCACGGCGCTGCGAGGGGGCCAGCACTGTGCTCTTTGCTGTGGGTAAGGCTCTCCCAACGAGGGGATTACCCTCAGACCCTGCCCAAAGCTCCAGCTTTCCAAGCTTTCCCGAGGTTTACCCTTGGCCTCGGGGACGATGAGTGCTCTGTTTGCAGGTGGGGGCAGCCTGTTTGCCATCCACGGGGACTGCGAGGCTTACGACACGCGGACGGACCGCTGGCACATGGTGGCCTCCATGTCGACCCGCAGGGCCAGGGTGGGCGTCGCGGCCATTGGGAACAAGCTGTACGCCGTGGGAGGGTAAGGGGACAAAGGGACAGGGGTGGGAGCAGGGATCTGAGCCAGGCCCTGGGTCCAGCTCACAGACCGTACAGTCTGAACTTCCCGGCTCTCACACTCTCTGTTTTTTCTCCCTTCAGTTATGATGGGACCTCAGATTTGGCCACGGTGGAGTCCTACGATCCTGTCACCAACTCCTGGCAGCCGGAGGTGTCCATGGGCACAAGGAGGAGCTGCCTGGGTGTAGCAGCACTTCATGGGCTTCTCTATGCTGCTGGGGGATACGATGGGGCCTCATGCCTGAACAGGTAGGGAATGGCTCGCTGCGGGCTCCTCCATTTCTCTTGCATGCTCTGTCCTTGATGCTGGGTGCTGGGAAGCCCACGAGGTCTGCTCCTGACTGAGTAGGTTTCTTGCAATCCAGCTCTGTCTTCCAGTTTCTTTGGCCCAGGCAGTTTCTTCAGGGAAAAACAAACAAACAGACAACACCATTTTGCAGCCCTCTGCCCCAAACCAAACGATGGCCCCTCTGTTAGTTCTTCCCTCCATTTTTCCCTCCCTTTTCCCAAGCTTCTTTGGGAGCTGCCCAGGAGGGCTTGTGTCAAAGGGCTTTGAGCTGGGCCTTGCCAGTGTCACACCTGAATTCCTGTGTCCCTGCCTGCTGCAGCGCAGAGCGGTACGACCCTCTGACAGGCACCTGGACATCCATCGCTGCCATGAGCACCAGGAGACGCTACGTCCGGGTGGCAACGCTAGGTGGGTGCTGGCATGAGGACACAACCTGCTTCTGTGCAGACTGTCTCTTGCATTTCTGGTGGTTCCTTCTGACGTCCTGTTCGAATTCCTGCCCCACCTTCCTCACATTCCCCAGCTGTGGGTCTGGGTAGCTCTGCCATCCCTCTGCTATGTCCTGACATGCTCCCTGCCTTTGCTCTGCTCCTTGGTTTCTGCAGTAGTTGGGTTTCATCACATTCTGGAGTCAGCTCCCCAGGGAACCCCACAACTTGCTCCTCAGCCCCTGTGTGCTCCCTTCTAGCTTGGAGCGAGGGGGCTGGATGCAGGAGGAGGCCACCTTATTTCTCCTCCCCTATGAAAGGCAGTTCCTTTCCTAATTATCCAAGTAGTAGTGTGGTGTCAAAACTGCCTCTACAAGAGGTGCCACAGCATTAGGTGCGATGTCTCACGACTCCATTGAGTTCTGTCCCTAAGGAGGATGTAGGATGAGAAGCGGCCACTTCATTGTTTAGTGCAGCTCTGGGGTCGATGCAAGTGAGGTTAATTGCAAGTGGGGTCGATGCAAGTGCCACCTCCCCCCCAGCTGGTGTCACACACAGCTCCTCACCACCCCACCATCAGCTGCGAGGTATCCCCTGCTGCCTCTTCCCTGCCGTCTGCTTTCAGCTCTCAGTGCTGACTCAGAGGTTCCCTCCCTTCCATCACGGCTCACACACCGCCTGCCACAGCCCTTATTGGCTTTCCCCATGCTCCAGCCCCTGCCTCTAAAAATAACCCGCTGCTCCAGCAGGGAGCACTCGCAGCTCCTGTAACGAGGAGGTCAGGAAGCAGCAGGAGGGCGAGTTCTTTGGGAAGTGCTGAGAAATTGCCTGGTGAACCTTTCACAGTGCTGCAAGGCAGGGGGGAGTGGGGAGCCGTGCTGAGAGCTGCTTGGCTGCTGGGGAGCAGGGGCACTGTGGGGGGCATGCAGCCCACAGCCCCCATGGGCACCCCATAAATCCTGTGCTGGGACTGCAGCTGTGCTTTGTAGCTAATCTGTGTGTGTGTATGACTGTCTTTGCAGAAGGCAACCTCTATGCTGTTGGGGGATATGACAGCTCATCCCACTTAGCCACAGTAGAAAAGTATGAGCCCCAGGTAATCACAGAAGAAAGCATGCCTGGTAACCCTCCTCTTCCTCCTCCTCTTCTTCCTCCTCCTCCTTTTCCTCTTCCTCCTTCTCTCCTGGTGGGTGCCTGATGAAGCCCTGCAGCCAAGCAGCAGGCACATGAGGATGTTGCAGACTGTGAGCAAGCAGCTGTACGTGGTTCTGTAGAACACAGCTGCTGTAGCTTGGGATGTGTCCACTTCCCAGCACTGTGCAGCACAGAGCTGCCTGCCTCCTTGGAGGTGCACTAAATAGAGGAGGTCTCGACCCCTTGTCCAGCTCTTTTGCAGGGTCTGGGTGCAGTCCAGAGCAAAAACTCACCCGTGCAAACTCTGAGATCTCTCTCTCAGACTTTCAGCCCCCAGAGCCCTCTCTATCCTCATTGCCTGAGGTCCTCGCTGCATCCCCTTCCCAGCAGTTACTTGGGATTGCAGTGGGTGATTGGGTCTGGGGTCCTGTAGCTCTGTTAGAGCAGGCTGCATCGCTGCAGAAAGATCAAAGCATCAGTTCCAGAAGCTTTTGGTGAGCTGTAAAGCCCCAGCTGTGCCTTGTGCAAATTTAAATTGATACAGCTCGATTCCCATGGCTGGGGTTCAGCTGTGACGTGCTGGTAGCCTGGCACAGAGCAGTGCTCAGGGAAGGGCTCTGCCAGCTGCACTGTGCTTTCCTGAGCTGTCGGCAGAGGTCTCTCCTGGGGCACTGCAGTTCTTCCTGCAGGAGAAATTCTCCTTTGCAAATTTTGCTGTTATCCGACTGCAGGTGAGCTGGAAAGGCAGCTTGGCCCTTTGTGTTTGTGGCAGCCAGAAGTGCTGTAGTCCAGCTCACAAGCATGCTCATTGCTTCTGCTCCAGGTAGCAATGGAATGAGGGTTGCTCCTCACTGGCCTTTTGGATGAAGGGGAAAGAGCTGGGATCCTGCAAGAAGTCTTTTGGTTAGGGTTAGTATTAGGGTTAGGGCACTGCCCTAATTGTCCTACCAGGGCTAACATCACAGGGACACGTGGAAAATGACCCATACCTGTGGCTTATTAATCCATATTTCCCCTTCCCAGATCAACACGTGGACGCCCATTGCCAACATGCTGAGCCGCCGGAGCAGCGCAGGGGTGGCTGTGCTGGAGGGGATGCTCTACGTGGCTGGTGGAAATGATGGGACCAGCTGCCTTAACTCTGTTGAGCGTTACAACCCCAAAACCAACACGTGGGAGAGCGTGGCACCCATGAACATCCGCAGGTAAGGAACTGCTGGGTTGCAGCTGCTGCAGGGATGGTTGGGAGCTTGTTTCTAAGAGCCTTGCTTCACTTGGCACTGCGAAATGCAGACCGTGCCCGGGGCGGGGGCCGGCTAGCCCTGCTGGCTCCGTGCTCCCTGCACAAAGGCAGCAGCATATCAAAGCAAAGGGAAAGACTGGAGGCAGTGTTTGAGCTCTGCACTGTCTCTGCGTGCTCCTTCTAGGAGCACCCACGACCTGGTGGCCATGGACGGCTGGCTGTACGCGGTGGGTGGCAACGACGGCAGCTCCAGCCTGAACTCCATCGAGAAGTACAACCCACGTACCAACAAATGGGTGGCAGCCTCCTGCATGTTCACCCGTCGCAGCAGCGTTGGGGTGGCCGTGCTGGAACTGCTCAACTTCCCACCTCCCTCATCTCCCACTCTCTCCGTGTCCTCGACGAGCCTTTGACAAAGGATCGGGACCTGCCTTACCTCCAGGGGGTCGGGGGTCCGTCCTGCGGGGCAGCCGCTCGCTGTAGGAGCAGAGCGAAGGCCTTGGCTGCCATCCCCAGCCCCTCTGCTCCCACGGAGCCTGGAGCCATCCCTGGCACACGCCTCGGATCAGCGAGCCCCAAACTGTGTTTCCTGGGGGACCACCCTCCATCCCTGGGACTCATCTCACCGCTCTCCCAAAGGGTTACGTGTTTTCTTTGGGGAAGGGGACCTCAAAACCATCGCTGCTTATTGGATTCAGGCAATCCAGCCGGTGCCACGTGGGCAGCACAGCCAACCCAGGGGCTTCGCCGTGGTGGGCAGTGCTCCTCCCAGGGACGTGGTTGGATGTGCAGCGTCCCTCCGAATGTCACTGTAGCCAAACTCTTGACCAAGCCTAATGTGCACTGTTAAAGACTCTGAGGCCGCCGCACGGTTCTCAATGGTGTCTAATTGATGCCTTAAAAATACACAAATGAAGCCCAGCGAAGGGACCGGGCCTGGAGGAGGTGAAATTTGGAGACAAAGCCTCATTCACAGGGACCCAACCGGCCATGGGGAGCCATGCAAGCGGATGGGATGGACCTGCCTGCACCCATCCCTGCTCCCTCCATGCATCCCACTGTGCCGTCTGGCTGGGAACAGAGCAGCCTGTTGCTGTTTCCCTCTTTGCAGAGCAGATTCCAGCTTGATGGCAAGGTCCAGCCTTCCAGACAAGGAGGATTGCCTGGCGTTACTTTTGTTGGCGTTCACTTTTCACCTCCTTTTTTTTTTTTTTTTTAATTTGAACGCAAGATTTTAATTTTAACGACTTCATATCATTTTATTTTTACACCCTGCCGGTATTCCCCATCCCATCTGCTTTGGAGGCAGCAGAAGGGATGCAATTACTTTTCTTAATTGTTGATGAGATGATGACTGCGTCCTGGAAGACGTTCTCTATAGATGTGTGGGTGTGTGTGCATGTGTGAGATACCATATGTACAGTGAAAACAGCACGGAAGGGACCGTGCGCAATTAGCAACTCCTTGGCAATTAGGCAACCACTTCAAATGAAGGTTGGAATCAATTAGCACCGTAAATCACAAGCCTGTCCTTCCAGACCTGTGCCATGGAACCTCTGGGGTTGCTTAGATTTCAGTGTGTGTGCTGTAGGGTGTGAGTCTTGGATTGGGAGAGTGTTCCCCACGTTGGAGGGGAATGACTCAGCCACCGGTACCTCAACAGCATCCAGTTGTGGCCTTGGGAACATGGTGACACTGTTTGTTTGTTTGTTTGTTTCAGGCTGATGCCTTTCTCCTCGTTCCCACACTCCTCATTTCCCGTTTACAGAGTTCATATTTTACCTGTAGGCTCGTAATCATAGAGTCGCTAAGGTTGGAAAGACTGCTGAGATCATCAAGTCCACCCCATCTGCACAGTGATGGCATTTGGCCTAAAATTTCAATAGGGGTTCCCTGCTTTCTCCGCTCCTTGGGGTGAAAGCTGAGTTTGGGATGAGCCAAGGACCCCCCAGTTTAGTTCAAATTAACCCTGACATGGGTGAAATGGACACAGTGTGCATGTACATGGGTGTGTGTGCGTGCATGAGAGAGGTCTCGCCTCTTTTCATACCATCCCTGTAAGCAACACGAGGAGTGTAATGCTGCTGGACTCCTGCAGCCAGCAGCTCCAGGATCCTCTGCGAAGGAGATGCTGCTGCTGAGGCCAACGAGAGGAACGGAAGAAGGGTGGTGGGAACCTTCAGCAACGGCGATGCTGTCCTTCCTCTGGGGATCAGCAGCACGGGCAGCATCACCTCTGTCACCCACCGCTTGGGTCCTGAGCAATACCAGCCCCGAGGCTGTTCTGCAAAACAGAAACCTGGGGAGCCTCCCGCGCCCCACGTCCTAACTATGCAGGTGCTCGCTGCTTTCCTCTGTGGGAAACGAAGGAAGGAAAGGGAGAAATCGGAGCACACCGACCCGCACTGTGTGGACACGAGGTGTCGGCACCTGCCCCCGGGTTGACACCGGGGTCGGGATTGCTTCTGGTGCTGCACGACCTCAGCGGGGCCGTGCGTCCGTCTGTGTCCGTCCCTGCGTGGGGAGGAGAACCGCCAGCTCTCCGCGGCTCCTCTGCCGTCCTCACTGAGTGCTGTCTCACCCCAAATCGTCCCCAGATGTGCTGTTTCCCATGTGAGCTCCGTCCCCCTGGGCGGGGGGCTCCCTCTGTGTCCCCCAGGGGTCCCGCTGTGGCTGGCAGTGCTGACCCCATTATGGGCACAGCTCGCCCCTCGCCGCTAGCAGACCCGCCGTGTCCACGTCCAACCGTCGTCACTTTGGTTTCTCTGTAAGTTACCCTACTTATTTATGTGGAACTCCGTTTCAAGGAATTTTTTGCACTACGTGGGATCGGGGAGGGGATACAAGCAATACAAAGCCAACGTGTACAATAAAGACGTTTTCTTGAATACAGGATCCTGCCTTTTGCATCCTTCTTTTGCACTGCCCTGGCGGACTCAGACAGCACTGCTGGGAAGACAAAGCAAGGGGAGGGGGTCCTGCTGGAGCTCATTGGGACAAACCCAGCTCGAGGCATGGGGGCTTTGGAGGCAGAGTGATTTACACCTCTCTCAGCCTTTAAATCCCAGCCTGGGCTCCTCAGGAGCCTCCAGCACTGCTGACAGCTTTCCCTGCCGTGGAAATAAAAACCAGACGGGAAACATCCTCCTTTCCTCCAGCTGTCACCGGGGCGGGAGGAGAGGGCTCGGATCTGCCTTCATGAGCTGCTGCCACTCACTGCTGGCTGGGGGGAGTGCCAGACCCCTTTCATGGGAGCAGGGGGTGAAAAGGGCAGCGTGGAGCTGCATGGCAAGGGGTAACCGCATCCGTGGGGCCCGAGGGGGGACTTTCCTGTGCACACACTCCCAGCCCTGCAGCAGAGCCCTGTGCTGTCACACTGGCTTGGCTGCAGCCCGGCCGTGTCCTCTTTCTGTCTGCTCCCCAGGCTCCTGCTTCTCTTTCGGGCTTCTATAAATAACTGTAAAAGTCTTTCCGAGGTCTGGAGCCCAGCAAACACGGTGGAGGAACAGCACGTTTCTGGTCACGGTGCTGAGCGTGTTAGCCACGGCTCTTAGCAGAAATCAGACCTTCCCTGACCAAATCCCAGTTGTTGCCATCGGCTGTGAGCTTCGGTGGCTGCCAGGAGTCGCCAGCATTTGGCTGTGCAGGGTGTGCAGAAGTGCCCGGCCATAAGATATATGGGGCTCCTGCAGGGGGCAGGGGGTGTCCCACGGTTTTACCTGGCCACAAAGGGTTAATGAGTTATGCAAGGAGTGGGAGAAAGGGCTGATTTAAAAGTGGAAGGTGCAGGAGCCTTTGGCAGATGTTCTGCTCTTAGCAGCCCCCTCCCCAGCTGCGGGATTGGCGCTGTGGGATGTGCTGCTCTTGTTCAGCTCCAACACAAGGTGGGTGCAAACGGAGTCCAACAACCCCAGCGTGTCCCTATGGCCTCACAGAGCCAATCCCAGCATGGTTCAAACATCCCTGCAAGCAAAACATCCTCTCCCGGTCTTAAAACCCCATGTCAGAGAATCCATCATAACCTGGGAGGTGTTCCAGCATGGAATGAACCTTCCTGTTCAAAACACACACGCTGCTTTGGGCTTAAATCGCCTTTCTCAGCATCTGCCTTTGCTGCTGCTCTGCTGGGTTATTGCAGGTCTGTGACTCTGCAGGGACAAAACCTGCACCCTGCAAACCCCTCACTGCCGCAGGGGCCTTCTTCACCCACCAAGATAGCACTGTCCCCATTAACTCCTTCCGTGCCAAATGCTGCAAGTAAACAGCCACAACCCAAGAATCTCCTCGCAGAACCCTCAGCCGTGAGCTGTCTGCGTGCTTTGGGTTTGATTCATAATACTATGGAGTTTCCCTATTTGCTGTGACCACCCAGCCCAGCTTTTTTTTCTTTTCTCAATCAGCAGGACAAGGATACTCATTCTGCATCCACCTTTCACACCATCATCAGCGACTCCGCGTCGTCACCACCTCTTTCCTCATCCCTTTCCCCTTCCAGCCACCATCGACTCCCTGGAAGAAGAATGTTCCCGGGCCATTTCTTCAGCCCTATCCTCTGCGGTGAGCTGGGCTCAGCCCTGGGACGCAGCCCCTCCCCAAACGTCCCGGCCCTACACGGGGCGGAGGAGAAGCAGCCGGTGAGAGCCCTGGGCCAAAAGTCTGTTTGCTGCCGGCTCACACCCACAAGTCAGTGCCGACAGACGGAAGCGGGGCATGGCTGCGTGACACACGCTCTGCTTCTGCTCCCAGTGCTCCCAGTGCTCCCAGTGCTCCTGGGCTGCTGGAATGGGGAACATTGCGTGCGTCCCGCAGGCGCCTGGGGGGTTCCGGCACTCCTTCAGGAGGAAACCTTCTCTGAAGAAAGAGTGAGTACGAATGCTTTCGTTGGGAACGGGGTCGGCGCTGAGTTCTTCTTGGGAATCCCAAAGAGTGTTCCACCAGCACATGGGAGGTTTGGGGGGTTTGGAGTGGTGCCACGGCAGCTGGAGGCGCCTTGGGGGGGGATCGTGGTGCTGTGCTGGAGTGCTGCAGCCACACTGCCCTGAGGAACAGCGTGATTTATTTCGCTGGAGTTGGGAAATATCACCTCCCCACCGTGGGGCACAGAGCTGAGCGCTCAGCATTCCTTTGTTTTGCATTTTATTTGTGCTGCCCTAACTCTAACCATAACCCTGTACGTAGCCCTAACCCTAATCCTAACCCTAACCTTAACAGTAACCCTAACCATAACCCCGGTGGTAACCCTAACCATACGGTTACTGGCCATAATCCTAACGGTAACCTTAACCAAACCTAACCCTAACTCTCACCCTCACCCTAACCCAGTGTACCCATCCCACCCATCCCTATCCCTTTAGAAGGAAAACCCCAAACCCTGGCACTCAGCCTGACCCTTGCTGTGCCCCCATGGGAAGCA